GCCTGCTTGATCCTGTGCCTTCCTTGCAAATAGTATCTAACCAGTGAGAAATACTCTCTGTAGTTTCAATCTCGATATACACCAATTATTGAACATGTATGCTGAGTTATTTATGGCAAAGACTGAAATAAAATTTAGAACTTCTACCAAATAAAGTATCCATCTATTGGGAAGAACAAGATGATTGTAGTATTTAAAGACAGAATAAGCGAAAAGGCAAAACTTAAGTGTGTGGAGGCCTTTTACCCCTCATGCTGGATAATAATGAATTAGCAATTTTATCAGCAGAAAGACAGGAGCGATCCATTTTTTTCTACTACAAGAATCAAATGAATACACTGTCCAGGTTTGCAATAAGCACAATAATAATATTTAAAATATTTATATTATATATAATGCTATATTAAAGGTTGTCATTTAGACAAAGAGGTGAATTTTTAGTTCATTTTCTGGTGTGTAGAGGCCATTTGAAAGAAAGTAAAGACAATATCATTATGATAAATCTGTAAATAGATTAAAAATGTAGTGTCACTCTCTTCCAAAATAATTTTTTCCTTTTCTGTTTTTTCTCTGTGAGGAAACTTTTTGAAAAGATAAAAATAGCATGTTCTTTACATAGTGTGAGGTAAGTTCCTTAAAATTAATTTAATTAAGCCTGACTAAAAAGATTTTGTCAATAACACAATTTTTATATACCCATGCATGTGCCAAAAAGACTTGATTGAATATTTATAAAAGACAGAGAAAGGTTTATATGCCAGTCAGTGAGAAAGAGAAGATAAGATGCTTAAAAGAAAAGAGAACAGTTCTTAAAAAAAAAGGTTTCTATCTACTCAAAATTTTCCTACCTTTTTCCTAGGTCTTGAATATGACAAGACCTAGTCTTGATTTCAGGAAATTTGATACTAAGGTTTTAACGACAGGTAGGAAAATTGCAAGCTTACTACAGGATGAGGAAAGACGTAATATGATGGAATTGAAATATGACAGCAGAATCATGGTAACTGGTATGAACTTGCTCATATTCAGATACAAAGAATGTTATATTTATTTTTTACATCAAATTAAATTGAGCTCAGCACTTCTTTTATTTATTTATTTGATACAGGATCTTGCTGCACAGTTCGGACTCATAGTGATCCTCCTGTCTCAGCCTCCTCAGTGCTAGGATTATAGGTGTGCGCTGCCAGGGATCGAACTCAGGTTGCCAGGCAGGTGCTTAGACAGTTGAGCTATGTCCCCAGCCCAAGCTCAGCACCTCTATCTATACTCAAGATGACTGGAAATCCAGTGTTAGTCATTTTGCAGTTTTCTCCCCGATATACAACAAATGTAATGTTGGCTAGTGTTTATGTAGAACTTACTCCTAGCCAGGCACCTAGTTGTGGTGTTCCAATTCATCGTATCATCATAATAACTCTCCGAGGGAGGTACATCATAACTTACTGCACTCATCTTTAATTGTGAAAACTATGATACAGGGAGAAGCCTACACAGACTGCCCAACTAGTAAGGGGCCAGGATTTGCAGTCTGCATTGGGAATCTGCACTTTTAACCACTGGAAACACTATATTAACCTGAGTTCATGTGTTTTGGAAGTTCTGGGTCAGGGGTACGGGGCCATCCAATCCTGAAGCAATGCTGCTTTAGCGTCTGGCACCAGAGGTCAGAAAGTTGGCATCCTGTGCTCACATCTGACAGCAGGCACATTTTATTCCATGTGGACCTAGTTTTCGACACTCTGAAAAGACAGCATTCAAATATAGAATCTTTAAAAAGTGCAGTTTTTGTTGGAGGATCGGCATAGGTGGCAAGGCTACCGAGGTTCCTGGGGCCCGTAAGTGGAAACTCATCCCTGCTGCACCCGATCCATGCCTCTGAGCTCCAGCCGCCCTCTCTGTTTCTATCCTCGGGCCCTTTACTTGCCAGACTCAGTACGTCAGGCGTGAGAAAATGAAGCTGTTTTGCCTGCTAATAGAGCCCTGCCTGTCCTCTCAGTGGCCCTGCTTCCTTCACGCTGAGACAACCACTCAGCCACATCGAATTTCTCACTAGCACTGTGAATTTTTCTTCCTCAAAGGCCGAGATGGGTTCCGGTTCCTTCATTATCTCATTAGGAACTCATATTTAAAGATCTAGCAACCCATCGGGCTCTTTCAGTGTCTTTGCCTTATAAAACAATCAGCTACCAAACCTTAGATTTCACTATCAACTCTCTGGTACCCACAACCTCCTCTGTGATCCTTTGCCACCCCAAAACTCTACCACCTAGACGTGCACCCTGCTTCTTGTCTGAACTTCCTTACTAAGTGGTCTCACATATACCGGCTTCTGTTTACCTTTACTCTATTTTCCGTTTCCCAGCTCTCCTATTTATTGCCAATGCTCGGATGAACCAACTCTCCTCTGTTCCCTAGTACATGCCCTTGCCTTGAGCATTGCTTCCTGGCGCAGGGTGGGAGGTGGGGGTGGGGCAGAGATGGTGCTCAGCCCAGTCTCCTGGGGAAGCTTGTTGCATTGGTTTTCCTGATGGGAACTCAGCTTTCCTCGTCATTGGAGGAGCTCAGGGCCTCGCTGTTGCTGAGAATGGCTGTGGCACATTGCAGGGTAGCTCTGGTTCTTGCCTTGAGCTTTGCTTCCTGGCTTCCTGGCAGACCCCTCAGCCTGCTAGCACAGACCCTTCATCCTGCTGGCACAGGCTTTCTAGCTTCCATCACTGACTCTTGGGCCTTCCCAGCACAGATCCGTGCAATAGGCCTCGTGAGACATTGTCGCGGGCTCTAGGCCTCCAGTGGGACTTGTGGGAGGCATTGTTGTGAGCTCTAGGTCTTCATCTGGACTCATGAAGGACATTACTGTGGGATCCAGGACCTCAGCTGGAGTCTTTGGTCTTTAGTGTATGGACAGATTTCCTGTACTGTCTTTTTGTATATCATTCTTTGCATGAATATTATAACCTCTTAGTATATGTGTCCTGTATTGTATTGTTCCCCTTGCCAGACCCCAAACTATGACAGGCCATCTGTGGAAAAATGCCCCAAGTCAATGATTATGTGCAGCACTTTTCATAGAATCGGATCTTCATTTTCTGGCTTTTCTGTAGTAGTAAATGACTTGTATTTTTAGTGGCAAGTAATCCAGCTCTTACATTGGCAAAGCAAATCATCTGTAGTTAAAAGTAGAAAGGAACATTAAGCACTTTAAATTTGTTTATTAATGTTTTCATTTTTGTATTTTTCAAAGACAATAGTGATTGTCACGTGTCTGACCCTTTCCCTTATGTCTTTACTTGCATAGAAAGTAAATAAGGTACTATCATTTCCATTGAGAAGTGATGACACTGAGACACAAGGAGTTAATTGGAGAAATCATGATAGGACCTAGGATGATGACTCTGAGCTAGACACTTTGTCTTGTAGATTAGAAGCAGAAGTCCCTGCTAGTCAATAATTATTACTGCAGGAACTATTCAGACTTTAAAACCATTCCAGGGGCCGGGTTTGAAGTCTTGATATTCCATTTAAAAAAATCAGGGAATTGTTTGTCCTTGAAAAGAGTGGGGAGCTTTGTATGCAGAGATAATAAAACATCTAGACCAACATGTTTAACTAGAGGCAGTATTGCTCCCTACCCCCACTTGCTAGCATACCTCTCTCCCATCCACATTTGACAGTACCTATGGATGTTTTAGTTTGTTCCAGATGGGGTCATTGCTGGCATCTGGTGGGTAGCAGCTGGAGGCCCTGGGAGACACCCTACAATGTATAAGACAGCCCTCGTAACAAAGAAAGATCTAATTTACAAAGTTAATAGTGCTGAGGCAGAGGAGCCCTGCTTCAGACTGCCTCTCTGCCTTGGCTAATGGCTGGCACACTTTAAATTTGCCGTACAGTATCTGCCATAAACCATGGATGGGCAAAATTTTTAAAAACAGAGGTCAGGGCTGCAGAGATAGCTTAGCAGTCTAAGTGGCTGCCTAGGCAAGCACAAGGACCAGGGTCCAAGCACTGGTACCACAGTGCACTGGTACCACTGGTACACAGAACAATGGTACCAGCGTCCCAGCCCCAGGCACTCCGAGCCAACCACCAAGACTGGACATAGTAGTGCACACCTATAATGCCAGTGCTGCTGAAGCTGAGACGGGAGGATCATTGTGAGTCTGAGTTGCATACTGAGACCCCTGTACCAGATACATTAAATTTAAAAAGAACAGGTCCTTTATGTACCATATTTGGTGCTTTCTCTTAATTCTTCACATCTTCTCTCAATCCTTGCTCTCTCCGTGTTGTTGCCCTCACCTCTCTTGTCAACATTTGCTGCAATTCATGTTCTTTGATCCCTTTTTACATGAAATTGACAGGACTCAGCTCCAGCCTGGTCCCCTTTTCTTGCTCTCTGAGAGCCAGGCAGATTTTGCACTCACATACTGGATGATGAGTGGAACTGTGGGCCCTGGGGGCAGCACAGTGAATGCTGGGTGGGCCCCTCCTGGAGACTAGCTCCTGGTTTCTGTGATTATTTTTGGAAAAATGGTTCCTGGAAGAAAAATGTCAATACCTGCTCTGAGTGCCTTAGAGAAAACTGGATGGCTAATTTTCCTAAAAGTAACTTCTAGAAGGAGGATGTCTTAGTTTTCTCCTTGCTGAGACAAAATACTCAGTGCCTAAGTTAAAGGAAGGAAGGTTTATTTGGATCACAGCTTGTAGAGGTTTTAGTTCAAGCAGGTTGGCATGGTAGAGGGGCATTGTGGAGGACAAAGAGTTCATGGCAAGCCGGAGGCAGCAAGCTTCAAGTAACAAACAGTAACACTAGCCCTCTTTCTGTCCCTTATATTTTTTTGTCGCGTATATTTTATAACATAAAATAATTGTAACATAAAATAATATAAAAATCCCCTAGGGATGTACCCTCTCAACAAGGGCAGGGCACCCTTAATCCTATCCATAACTCTGCCAATCCACCAGTGGACTAATTTAGTAATCTACATGTACTCTAGATCCAGCCACCTCTGCCAAAGCCCCACCTGTGACTACATGAAGCACTGGGAGAACATCTAGATACAAGCCACAACAGAAGGTAAAAATTACACTTCAGGCTCACCTACAAGTTATAACTCCTATTTGTTTAAGAGCAGAGAACTCTGTGATAGTAGTCTTTGTACACAAAGCTATTTTGAGTTTATCCCTATACAAAGTAGATTTGAATTTATTAATTGAGAGGGATACATAGGATACCAGAAGGACCTGTGATGGGGGCAGAAGACTGAATAATTTAGGTATTTTATTTTCAAAATGATTGTTGACATGCATAGAAGCATCATTTGTACATCACTGATGAGGATTGGGGCTACATATCCTAAATGACTGAGCTGACCATGAGTAATCTGTCTAATAAAAGTCTCTCTTACCTAGATAAAAAGTGTCAATCATCTTTGGTTGAACTATATTCTAGATTAGCGGTTCTCATATTGTGGCCTAATGTGCCTTGGGTTATCCTAATGCTGTTTCAGAGACTAAAGTTCAAACATTTTTTATAATAACATTAAGATGTTGGGAAAAAAGGGGGGGGGCCAGAGAGATGGCTCAGTGGAATAAGTGCTTCCCTGGCAAGCACAAGGGCCTGAGTTCAATCCCCGGTTCTGGAAAAAAAAAAAAAAAAAAAAAAAAAAAAGATGTTGGGTTGGGGATGTAACAGAATAGTAGCACACATACTACCCTGGGTCTGGTCTGCAACATTGAAAGAAAAAAAAATATTTGCCCTTTTTTTCCCCATTGGTCATGCAACGACATTAGTACTGATAACTGCAGATGCTTTACCATAAATTAAGGCAAGGATGATTAAATGTATTAGTAATAGTTTTCTTCATCTTTACATATGAAAAATTTTTAAATGCCCATTTTATTTAAGAAGTCCCTAGTTGAAGTAGTAAAAATCATTAATTTTATTAAATCTTGAGTTTTAATTTTTTTTTTTAAAGAGAGTACAGGGCTGGCCAGATACTCAGCAGACTAAAGCTCCTGCTTAGGCAGAGCACATGGATGGGGGTTTGATCCCTGGCACCACAAGCTGTGCCGACCCTGCCCCAGGGCGCCCTAAGATGGTGATTGAGATGGGACATGGTGGCACACGCCTGTAATCCCAGCACTTGGGAGGCTGAAGACAGGAGGATCACTACGAGTCCAATCTACATAGTGAGACCCTGTAAACCCTGTACTAAATACATAAAAAATAAAAATAAAAAACAGAGAGTACAAAGTAGTGTTAAAACAGAAAAAAATTACAAGTGATGCAGAATTTCACTTAAAGTAATATGAATTTCACAGTATTTGTTGTAATGCATAGTGTTGTCTTCCAACCAGTTATTCATACCAGTTATTCATATATGCATGCAAAATTGAAAGAAGAAAAAAAAAAGAAATGTATAAGAAATTAAGAAGAGACAAAGTACAAACAATTGAAAAGGGAGACAAAACAAATCAAGCATTATCTGCTCCTTTCTCTAGGCCAGCAGCAATCTGTCTTTTGCAATGCTGTGTGACAGAACAAATGAGAAATATGCTTGACATACTTGCTGCATATTGAGTGCAGAAGCGCAGCGACTGCTTTAAGAAAATGTTCCTGGCAGCTGTTCTGAGCTGGCCGAGCCACGTTGTTCACGGTACATTTTCAGTGGAAAGAGACGATGGGCAAACTATGGTTATTTAAGCTATGGTTGCTCAGCAGAAATTTGATTTAAAAAAATAAAATCAACCTGTCAGTTCAAATAAAACAATTGCCTGTAGTTTGCTAAGATAAAATGAGTATTTTCAAGCAAAAATTTGGGAAATATGGATTTATCACTATGAATTTGTCACTTTCCAGTAGTAAGACAGTTTTCTGATGAAATTAGTGGTGAGGCGATAAATGAGATTTTTTGGATATTGTATAAGGAAATGTGTCCACACTGGGAACAACTAAATAAGTGTTATGTGTTGATATTTTAAATAAGTCCAATGAATGGTAGTGCCAAATCATGCATGGGTGAAAGGTCCTTTCAACATCCAAAATAGCATGAATAGACAGTGTTAGATGTTTAGTTGAATTCAAACACTTATAGTATTTAGATGCCAATAGAATACTCACCTCTGTCAGGACAAATAAATAAATAAATAATTTTTAAAAAAGAAAAAAAATGGAAATGGAAAGAAGCAGTCAATGCTCTAATTAGCTTTGTCTCCTTTTTTCAATTGTTTGTACTTTTTCTTTTCTTAATTTCTTATACATTGCTCCAGTTTTTTCTTCTCCCAATATCTGGTAATATGAATAGCTGGTTGTAAGACAATACCATGTATTACAACAAATATTGTGACGTTCCTGTTACTTTGTTAAGTAAAATTCTGTATGAGTTGTCAAAATAAATAAATAAATAAAATTTAAAACAAACAAACAAAACAAAATAGCATGAAAAGTTCATTATTCTGGTTTGATTCCACACTGCAAATGACCTTTAAGGAATTATTGCTTGTTGAATTTGACGTCATAAAGTAAAAATAACAACAATTACTCTTTAAAGACTATTAAAATAATCCTTTCTTTTGCAACTACATATCTATATAAGGCCACATTTTCTACATATTCTTCAACCAAAACAACAGATTGCAACAGATTTTAAGAAGTAGATGTTAGAATCTAACTGTCTTGTAGTTAGGAATGCTTTAAAGAAATTTGCAAAAACTGTGAAACAAGGCCTTGCCTCTCATGAATGAGCTTTTGGTTTAGGAAAAATAGCTACTTCTCATGAAATATTTTGTATTTCAACATATAATATGCTTGTTAATGTTATTTTAAAATAAACACAGCATTTATTTCTCTACAGCAGATACTGACAGCTAAAATTCACATCACAGAGTGTAAAGGGATCTTGAGACCAAAGGTTTGAGGACAAAAAAGAAAGAATTACAGTAATTATAAACTTAATCCCTTCAAAGTAAACATGGATAATATTTTCTGCATTTAAAAATATTAAAAATGACATTTGGCTGATTTATTGCTCTTTTCAAAATAGTTTTACATATATCAACAAATAAATTTTTTGAGCAGTCCTACAGGTCAGGAATTATTTTTTTCATGTTGCACTAAAGAAATTTGAGGTGCAGAGCATTCACCAATCAGCTTATCCTAGAAGAGAGCAGGAGATAGAGCAAGATTCTGACCCCAGATCTCCCAACTTTCACTTTCATTATATTTTTGGAATGCGACCTTTTTTTGGTGGGATTGGGATTGAACTCAGGCAAGCGCTTATGCTACTGAGCCTTCTCCCCAGCCCCATGGAATACAACTTTTGAAACCATTAGATTCAGAAACCATTAGAAATGTATTAGTATGTAAAGAATACAAACACAAAAACACATTTTAAAAGTTTATTATATTACTCTTGTATAACAAATATTAAACTCAAATATAACAAGTCATACTGGGCTTTAGTTATGCTCAGTATGTTGGACAAGTAAATATTTCAAGTTCTGAATCAATAATGTCTAAATAAATGTTGTTCATCATCTTTACCTATTTGTTACATGAGACTGTAGGAAATACCAATATTCTGTTATTTTTGGTTTACAAAAATGATAATTTGATATAATCAATGTAGTAAAAATTTTAAAAACATAGAAAGTACAAATGAAATCTTTTACATTAGATTAAAATGACAAATATATAACTACATTGAAATATTAATTTTCAGTTTTAAAGATATAAACTGAAAAATAAGAGACCGTGTACAAACTCCAATTAAGTCCTAAATCCCAATGTTTGATGGTAGCTACTATCAACAATTTCCAGCAAGCACATACAATAATATCATACATATTAGACACCCCCACACCACCAATAAATGGCTACATACTTCAGTAAAATAAAAACTTGTATAAATATTTTAATACTAAATTTATTAAGACATTATGAGATTAGTACAAATTATCTTTGGATTCTCCAGTTATAAGAGGCACTCAAAGCGGTGGCAATTAGCCTCCAGACCTTGGTTAGTATGGTGAACTACTGCTTGGGTAACTGAGATGCATTTTCAATTTCTTGAATGCTACCCCTGCATTTTCAATTTCTTTTTTAAGACCAGCAATATTAGTGGGTATTTGGCAATATACAACATCTTCTAGGGTCCCTTATACAAGAGTAGCACCATATGTTGAAAAAAAATCATACTATTTTACTATGTTCTGAAGTATATATATATTTTTTGTTTTTCCTTCTCTCTTCCTGAGTCTCTCTCTCCCTCCATTGCTGTCTCCTTCCCTTCTTCCCTCTCTTCCTCCCTCTCTCTCTCATGTGCACATGCATATGTGTGCTTCATCTCCAAATTATACTAATAATCAAATCAAACTAATCAAATTACTTTGTAAATTGCCTTTCATTACATGCTATTCATATAGTTCTATTCTTTTTTTATGTTCCACTTTTTGGAGAATGTGTCATAATTTAATACTAAATTTTAAACAATTATGAAAGTACCATGTTTATGTGGGCAAGTATATTTATATTAGTGTTTATTTTGTACATGTATATATGTGTGTAGGCACATTAATTTCTATGTATGTATGTACACCTGTGTGACCACTCACAGAATGATGAAAGTATGGGACGTTTTGAATATCCCAGCAGATTCTATCAACCCCCTTCTTGGTTAACAACTTTGCAACTCAGCAGCCACTGTTCTGCTTTATCACTATATGTTAGGTTGGTCCATTCTTAGACTTGATATAAATGGAATCATATCTTATGCTTTCCTTGGGTGTGTCTATCTGGTCTCTTTCAGTCAGAACAAGTTCTTTGAGGTTGATTTGTATTACTGTATGTAGCTATTTGCTCATTTTGATTGATACGTAGTATTCTACTGTATGAATTTATCCAGTCTAGTATTGATGGAAATTGGCTTTTTTGTTTTTTAAGTTTTATATTATGAATAAAGCTTCCATGAACATTCTTTAGGTGTCTTTTGGTGGACATGCCCATTAGTTTTCTTTCAGTCTGTATTAGT